AACCTAATTAATTTAACCCTAATTCAAATTAACCTAAGTAAATTAACCATAATTAGAACCTATTTAAATTTTAAATAACAATTAATTAACTAATTAACCTAACTACTAACAAAAATAATAAATTAACAAACCAATCAACCAATTAACAATTGAATATATAAAAAATAAAAATTCAACTAATTAATTAAAATTAAACAAATTAATTTAAACCTAAATCAAATTTACTTAATTAAATCTAATTCAAACCTAATTGAATTTTAAATAACAATTAATTAACAAATTAACCTAAAAATTAACAAAAATAATAAACTAACAAACTAATCGACCAATTTAAAATTAAATTCTACCAATTAATCGAAATTAACCTAAAAATTATTAAAAAATAACAAATCAATAAATTAATCAACCAATTAACAATTAAATTCAACCAATTAATCAAAATTAACCTAACAATTATATAAAAAATCAAATTAACAAACTAATCAACCAATTCACAATTAAATTAAACCAATTAATTAAAATTAGCCTAATAATTATAAAAAATAACAAATTATTTATGGGGGAGAGAGAGAGAGAGAGAGAGAGAGCTTACCTTCGAAAACAAGGGAAAAGACGGAAGAGACGAAGAGGAAGGAGGAAATTCAAGCCTTTTAGGGGAGAAAAGAGTTTAGAGTATATGGGAATTATAGGGGAGTGGGGGAATGAAGTAGTAGGGTTTTGTGGTGGTTTTGGATGGAGATTGCAGTGGCGAGTGAAAAGGAGGAGAGGGAGAGGAAGAAGAAAGGGGATCTAAATTTAGGGATTTAGGATTAGTGATGGGATGGACGTGATCCCATCACTAACTGCATCTCGATTTTGAATAAATGAGTCTCGCTCTTTTTTTCCATATTAGCATTGGAATTTCAATTGCTAATTTATGAGAAAAATATGAAAACAGTACATGAAAATTATGTCGCTAACTCTTAAACCGAAAAACGAGAGATGGAATTAAGATTCTGTTGCTAATATTCATCGTAATTATCTCATTAAATTGTCTCTAATATACTCGTGAATATTATTTTGTAGTCCGTAGTTGACAATCCATTGCTAGTTCATCGGTATTTTGTAGTCGAAACCTACGTCTCGATAACATTTGCAATTCATTCGCTATATGTCTCTATTTAGCGATAGATTTCAATCTGTCATTGATTTCCATTGCTATTTTATAGTTTTCTTGTAATAAGACTAAATAATATTAATGAAAAATATGATATTTTTTAAGAAATAGAATTTCGACACAAGATAGGTTAGTATATATATTTTAAGAATAAGACTAAATATTATTTTATAGTTATGCTATTGGTGTTTCTTTCTTGAGGCCTTAGTTTTTTGTCTCATCCCTTTGTAAAAATAATAATAATAATAATAAATAAATAAATAAATTCTTTTTTGTTTCTAACAAGAAGCTATCATCTCATACCTTTATCAACCTTTTGTATAATTAGTTAGGTATTTTGGATTAAGTATTAAATACACCATTGGTGCATCTATTACAAGAAAAGTTTTCTCCATCTATTTTAATATTTTAACTTCCATCATAATATGAGAAACAAAAATTTGCTTATTATTTTAGTGTTGCGTTTAGGTCCAACCATAGTTAGCGTGATGACCAAAGTGAGGGTCGGTGGGCTTGAAGGAAGCTTTGTCTTCACCATTCTGTTTGTGTAGCCGACAACACATAGGTATCAAAAGGAAGCATTCAAGATGGCAACGTGCGACCTGAGCACGAAACAAAGAGAAAGGGTTGATTTCTTTGTTTCTTCTTAAGGTCAGATACTGTAGCCAAATATTTCTTTTCTTCTTCTTTCGATCCTAAAGTAATATATACTTTTGGATTTTCTTTATACGATATATATATATATATATATTTAGATCTACGAACTTGTAATATTTAAGATGTTGATCTCATAATAGTATGAATTTTGCTGGTTTTTCCAGATTTTACTGTTCTTCAACTGATTTAATTAAGGAGGTAATTTTATGTGATTGTCTAATTTGATAGGTCTATTCTCTCATTTGAAGAGACTTTTTGTTATATAAATTTGATGTTTTTATACTTATATTTTTTAGTGATTAATTTTGTATTTTTATTATTTATTATTTTAATTTATTTATTTTAATCTAATATATACTTAATCAACATGTGGTTAAGCCGCTAAAAACAGCCAAAACTCAAAATCCTCAAACTAGTTTCCTAGCTCCAACATTCAATATAATTATATTATATTTATTCAACAAATCTCTATATAGCATACGTATACTACTTTTAATTCCTAGCTTTATTCTCAAATTTCCTTTTATTTTTTTAATGCAAACTTTTTCTTCTAATTTTTTTTTCTCTTTCTCTCTCTTTCTGATCACCCTCAATGTACGAGTATTTTTCTGTCATCATCATCTACAAAATGAAACCTAAAAACCAGACTTCAGCAAACAAGCAAGAAAAAAGATTCATTATTTTTTTTCGATTATCTTAATTCAATTATAAATAGGTTATCTATAGCAAAAGTACTCCACGATTCAATTTGATGAGAATTTTACTTTTTATAACTTTAGTTTTAAATTTTAATAATTGGGTTAATACCCTTGTCTATCTTTATATAATAGTTTAAATTTTCAAATCTACTTTTAAATTTAAAAAACTTCCAATCTATCCATATTATTTAAACTAATTTCTAATATGTCATTTTAGTTAAAAAAATTTACCAAATTAAGCATGTGATTTACACATAATATGTTATTTGACAATATTATTTTTGTTCATTGGCACAAATAATCTATATTTGTTAATATAAATATTAATTTCTAATGAATTGACCATAAAGTTTGACCAAAATGATAAATTAAAAATTAATTCAAATAATATGAATAGATTAAAGGTGTTTTCTGATTTAAGGATGGATTAAAAATTTTGCCTATCATATAAGAATAAGTAATTGTATTAACCTCTAATAATTATAAAAAGAATACACATTCTTAATCATAATTCAATCTCCCAAGTCAGAAAATTAATTAAAAAAAAGAAACCCTAAAGTAGTAATAATTTTAAAAAAAATTAGCATTAGGCTAATTAGATATTCTTTTGGATTAATGGTTATATAGGTCTGTTTATTTTTTTCATCTTTATCATATTCATCTAATTTTTTCTTCTTAAATTCATTATTTTACGATTGGTTTTTATATTAATTATGTCATTTCATTAATTTTTAGGCTAACGTTTAACCCCTTTTGAGTGACAACTCATAAAAAAAGTCTTAATAAAATTTATATTCTCACTTTTCAAATAAAAATAAAAATTTTATAAAATAAAAATAAGTAAATTATAAAAAAGGCTTTTGAGAGATTATAGAAATACAAATATCTTTCAAAAATTAAAAAATTTAAATAAAATTCTCTTTTTTTTTAAAAATGCGTTAAATATTTAATTTTATACTCAAAATTTAAATCTATAGAAGATATTTTACTTCACTTTTTTTTGAGTTTTTGGAATTTATTTATTTAAATTTGATAAAAAAAAAAAAACAGAATAGAAAGATTAGGGGGAAAAAACAAACAAACTTGACGAAAAAGTAAAAAATATGATAAAAACAAAAGAAAAAGCAAAGGAACACACTAGAAACACCTTATATTAGCCATTTTGTGAATCTCACGCGGACACCATGCAGCGAAGTTCATAACTGCCACTTAACTAGCGGTGTCTCACACTTAGTGTTGGTGGCGCGTGGAAGTAGAAGCACGTTTGTAAATCAGTTGGTTGGCACTTAGCAACCTGCATACGTTAGTTAGTCAGTCATCTCTATCTCTGTCTCTCTGCGCTTGATCTCTCTCTCTTTCACTCTCTGATCAACTCATAATTACTCATTTCAGGTATGCAAATCTGATCAAATATATTAGATCTAGAGTTTATTTTTTTCAAGTCCTTTGTTTTGTGATTAATGCATGAATTGTTGTATTTTTCTTTTTTTAATTTTATTGATTGCGATTATCTTATAACTATCACGAAGTGCATGTCCATTCATTCTTGTCTCAATCGCTCCTTTCCTCCTGCTTTGGTAATTTGGGTGTTTCTTTAATTTTCTTTAAATTGGAAAAATATTGTTTTTTATACTAAATTTGATCTTCATCCACTATATTTTTACCATTTCTTAAAAAAATAAAATAATTTGGTCAATTAGAATTGATTTTCTTGTAAATTCCGTAACCTAAGAGCCTAAAAAAAAGCTTCTTTTTTGTTTTTCCTTAATTCAAGTTGAATTCGTCCCACTTAAGCAACCTTACAGTACAAGCTGAGCTTTAGTTTTGAACGATATATTTTTCAAATGATTTTGGATGAACACCCAGGAATTATTTTGCAGGAAAACAGAAGAGAAACCGTCATCGCATATAAAATTCTTTCAAGAAAAAAAACATTTCTCGGTGGGAATTGTTTCCTTTCATGTTAATGTGTCATGAGATATTGGAGAATATGGAAGTTTTTTAGGACTGCAGAAAATGTTTAATCATAAGAACAGCATATTGCATTAGCAGCAGATTTGAAGGGATTTGCAAGACTCTAGACTCATCTATTCTAGAACATCATGTTAACAGTGCAAGGAAGTGCATCTGATGATTTTTTATTTTACTATGATTGTATGCCAATTGCCAAAGCGGGGATATGAGGGAGGGACCGCTGTAGGTTATGGACCTTGGGATTGCAGGATATGGCTAGGCTGCATGAAAATGATAATTCATATAGTCTTATTCTGACATTTTTATTATCTTAACTATCGTTTTGAAGCTGGTCTTTTCTTTGTATATAATTGGATTGCAATATATTGTATTATCTCTATACAGTATTGAACTGAGCAATAATGACTTTAAAAACAAAAATGGCCGTGTTAGAATGTGCTGCTAAAATTTTATATATATACCTCCTCAATCAGGTCAACCTACATCCAGCTTGCATATTGTAAAACTTCAACACCATGTATCCTGGTGGTTATACTGCTGAAGTTACAAGCTTAGCTCCTAAAGCCACAGAGAAGGATGTGCACGATTTTTTTTCTTACTGTGGTGCTGTTGAGCATGTTGAAATCATTAGGTAATATTCGTCCACCAAGCTTCTTGTTGCAAATTATGAATTTACCAAAACAGCAATTTTCGTCAGAATATGGTTATGCTCCTATGTGTATGTATTGGCCATTATATACTCAAAGAACTGATTAGTGAATTCTTTTTCAATTTCCATCAGAGTATGGTTATGATCATATGTGTACGTATTGGCCAATATACACTCAATAACTGATTAGTGAATTCTTTTTTCTTTTTTTTCTTTTTTTAAAGGCAAGGGGGAAAAAAGAAAAAGAACAAGAATGTCTATGTTTTGCTTTGTGTTGCTCTTCATGTTTTATCCTTTTCTGTTATGTGGTAATCAGTCATTTAGATAGGTTATAAAAGTGATTTGGGCATGTTTGGAGTCCAACTCCATCCCTGGTAATTGCAATTCTTTTGCTAGAGGATTCCAATAATTGTCTATTTACGTTGAACCAAAATTGGTATGTTTAAAGGCCTCCAATGCAGTCTCCGAAATTGAATTGCTTCTAGAGAAAAACTTGACATAAAGGTGTGAATTCCACATGTGTTTCTCTTGAAAGCTTTTCCATTATTCAGCTACATATTCATTCATGTGTATTTCCTTATTTATCTGAGAAACTAGGAATGCTTGCGCTCTTTTTCTCCCAAAGTATCAGGTCAAACATTACAATTTACAATCATTTAGTGTATTCTTAGCTGCACACTTATTTTTCACAGTACAAAAATATAAAAAAAGAGGCATTTGATGATATGTCAACAGTATGTTCTAGGAACAGTTACCAAATAATAGGAACTTGTACATATCAAGAGATGAGTCAAAGGGTGCTGATAGGCTAGTTTTGAATGCAATATCTGTTCTTGGTTTGTTGCACTCTTGCCTTACAACTTTTGGTTCTGGAGCTTCCATTGTGCTTGCACAAATAAGTTACACACATCGAATTCATTATTATTTTTCTGTGGTCATACACTGTATTTGGCTCAAGGAGTGCTTTCTCTTACTGTAAACAGATCTGGTGAATATGCTTGCACCGCATATGTAACTTTTAAAGATGCCTATGGTCTTCAAACTGCCATCCTGCTTAGTGTAAGTTTCTGCTCACACTTCTGGCAAGAAAAAATAGTACTTGATATAATGGGGAAAAAAAGATTGTGAGCCATTTTGTTCAGGCTACCCTCATGATTTTTGTGTCTTGGTTTCCCTGACCCTGAATCTTGTTTAAATCCTCCATTATTAGCTCACTAGTTAGTAATGGAGATATATTGTCGTGTAAGGTTGCTGCTTTCTATGGATATATGTGTTTCTTTTATATGACTAGATTGATATTCTTGCAATATCACCTTGAGAATGATTTAAAATTTAATCCAACATCATCAAGAATATTCAGTTACCAGGACATAATATATAATGGTTCTCATATGAATTTTTTTAAGAAAGCAAGATTCAGAATGTAGGAACTTCATTTTCAGCCTGTTCACGATCTATGGAATCACCTTTCTCAAGTGGCAAGTGACCCTTTGCCTGATGAATTTTTAGGGAATTATATTAGATACCTCAGTTAAGGTATGTTCTTTATATACACAACATCAGTTGGTAGTTGTCTTCATCATCAATTTCTTTCTAACTCTTTAATATTGACACTTCTGCATTCCTCTGCTGTTATTGTGATAAAGATTCTATCCTCATATATGACAACAATTTCTACATATGTCTGAACTCTGAATAAATTGGAAGTTTTGACCTTAAATAAGTTATCTCAGGTTCTTAATATTTTGGATTTGAACAACCACCTCTATGTTGGCCTTACATAAGTTGGAAGATCATGGTTCTACTTCAAAATATGACCTAATATGGAATCATGAATTAGAATCACCATTAGACTAGAAATTCTTAAGAAAACGTTATTGGAAAAAATTATTTGCCTCTATAATTTAGGCTCTTAAAACTGTTTAGTATTCTCTTTTCATTGGTGTATGGGATCATCGTTAGGATTTCAACTGATGATTTCATATGATACTGATGGCAAATGGATTATTAGTTTTCTTTTTTCTGGAAAAAATAAATAAATAAAATGAAATTCATCTTGAAGGCTACCTTGTAGATACACAATACACTTTAATAAATTTCTTTTTTTCTATATTGAACTACACTTTCAGCTGAATGATCCACTTGCCATTGATGTAGATCTACTTGCTCCTATGGCCCAATTATCTGACATTTATTTGTAGTGGTCGATAGAATCATTTTTGTGCTGATTTTATGTTTTAGGGAGCCACAATTGCTGATCAACGTGTTTGCATAACACAATGGGGAACTTTTGTAGATGAATCCGATCCCTGGAACACTCCTTGGAAAAATGAGGAGAACACCAGCTCAGAGGTATGCATTAATATCGTTAATATCCCATTTACGTCATTAGAATTTTGTGCAGTTTCAAGCTCAGCGGTTGAAGTCGAGCATGGAAAAATTTATTTAATCCCGATATTTGAAATATTTCTTCAAAAATTCTTTAAGAGGTCAAGGATAGTTGTTGCCTTCTGCAACCTATTAGACAGAAATTCAAAAATGCAGCAGTATGTTTTGGATGTATCAATAATATGCATCCAGAGTTCAGCAAGTATGTTTGTTCAATGTCAAGCGAAGACATACTGCCAGTTACTAGGCCAAAATATGATCAAAGTTGCTGCCAATATAAGGAACCAAACCAAGTGATTAAATAAAACACTTGATGTTTATCATAAAAGTGAAGAGGTTGAAGTGCATCTCAATGATTCAACCAAGACAAATCACATCTTTAGACGGTCATGATACTCAAATATTTAAGAAGTCCTAAACTGGCTTCATAGTTTTAGAACTGGATGCCTCCACATGTTCCAGCTTGCTCTTGCTTGGAAGCACTATTTATTATTTTTAATTCTGATTGTGAACATCGTACCCTGCTTCATAATTATTCATAGCAAGTGAAGTGACACAGTACTTATTGTACTCAATTAGTGTACCTGTCCCTTTTAACCAACTCTTCTACATTATTGGCAGGGAATTCATGTCAACCAGTTTGTTTCTAACCCGGGAGAAGCAATGACCCTTGCTCAGGAAGTTGTTAAAACAATGTTATCCAAGGGATACGTTTTGGGAAAAGATGCAATGGTCAAGGCCAAGGCGTTTGATGAATCCCACCAAGTCTCAGCTACCGCAGCTGCTAAGGTAGCTGAGCTAAGCAATAGAATCGGGCTCACTGACAAGATACATGCAGGAATGGAAACTGTGAAATGCGTGGATGAGAGGTACCATGTTTCAGAAATCACCAAATCAGCTGCATCAGCTACTGGGACAGCAGCTTTAGCTGCAGCTACTTATACAGGGAAAACAGCTGCAGCAGCTGCTAATGCTGTAGTCAACAGCTCCTACTTTGCCAAGGGAGCTCTTTGGGTTTCAGGTGTTTTGACACAGGCAGCCGATGCTGCAGCTGATTTGGGCAAGAAGGCTAGCTCATGAGTGAAGTTTTTCTTACAAACAACAGTAAGGGATCTGTTACTTTTGTTCTTGTATAAAAATAAATATTCCTTCTAGATGCAGCTACTTTTACACAGACTAGGTTCTAATGTTTTAGTGAACAGCAGCTCCTATGCCAGGTGAGCACTTTGGGTTTTTGGCCTTAAGTCATGTGCAGTATAACAGTTGTTTTTTGGCTACTGGAATTCAATGCCCAGGGTTGTGCACAGTTTTGGACTTTAGGCTCATGATACATCTTACATATTGTGGATCTTTAAACATAACATTTTCAGTTGGCTCTTTTTTTTTTTTTTTTTTTTGGTGATTCTGCAACTACATGATCTAGATGGCTGCTGATACATCTTCTTGACTGATAGGACTTTACATGAAATGCAACTTTCTTAGTGGTTGTTTCTTTGGTGTGCACCTTTACGATGTCTTAACATGCGTAATGTAAACTAATCAGTAGGATGCAGATTGATTGTCTTGGATTATTATGGTTGGCAGCTAATTCTACGGGGCCATTTTACAGCTTGCAGGTTCTAAATACAAGTCCTTGACAAATAATTGATCCAAGTTGCCATTTTGGCTATATGTTTGGAGTTTTCACTCCCAGTTCATTTTTAGTGATCATAAGCTGGGCAGTCATTAGTCAGTTTTTCCCAACCTTATACTGGTGCATGCTTCTGGAACGATAGCATTTACTGAGAAAAATAGAGCCCTGGTTCTTACCTGATATTTTGATAGATCGTGTTATGATGCAATCTAGTATCCTCTCCGTGGACCGCAAGGTAGAACCATCTTTAATGCTGGTGGGTCAGCAAAAGTTTTGAGCATTTTACGCCAGTGACTGGTCTTACAAGGCAAGCATACCGGAAAAATAAAATTCACTATGCAGTTGACTGCCACTATCAATACACGTCCAAGAATGTTAGCTTTTGCCAAGTATTTCAACTTCAGTTCTTTGCATTGCAACCGTCATGTATGCGCATTTAAAGAGGGTCGGCTGCTTGACTGCTTGGCCATGTGGAAAACAAAATTATATGATACGTAGTCTACTGCTTTTTTGGTCACATGTCAACTAATTTCTAATAATTTTTCTTATTTCCTTTTCTTGTCTGTCAACCACTCATGATCGTATTTCTTTACCCAACCACCAGTGCCTTGCAGACCCTTTATGGTTTTCTTTAGTCTTTACAACCCAATAGCTACTTTAATCTGCCAAAAATTGTGCCACAAGAGGCAGCACGTACCTTATACCATCCATCTTTAATGCCTCAATTTGCAAAACTTGCTCTAACAAAGAATGAGTTATCAATCTCTCTTTCTGTAAGATGTGAACTTCATGCCCTATCAGAGGATGAAGATTGATAAGGCAAGGCTGTGCATGCGCGTAACCATTAACCACTTCCAAAATCTCATCTCGTAGAAAATACGTTCGGTAATTAACCTGTATGTTTTGCATCACCTTAACCACTTTCCGAACTCAATAATTGAATTAGCAAAATTCTAAACAAGGGCCCATGCTTCACAATAAGTCAAGCAGAAGCATGGTTAAGGATCGATCCATTGTCAATAAATATGTGGGTCGTTGTTGGGTTTATATGGCCTCAGTAATCAGTCAATGGCACATGGTGCATTTGTTGCCATTAGCCTGAACTTTAATACAATTGTTTTGAAGAACTTTTAAGTAGTTTTGTTCTCTACTTACGTTTCTTTTGCTAACTAATTGCCCTTTACTTGTGACCAACCAAACTCATATTGACTTGATTAGATAGAGCTGTGTCATGTAGCCAGTGTTGTGATTTTGAGGTTGGACATTGTGAAGCTGAATTCAGCGACAGGATTTGAAATGGGATGTTGAGCAGGTAGAGAAGGATGTTTGAACCCCTATAGCATATTTAAATTGTATTATTCTTCTGTCTTCTTTCCACATCTCCTTTTGTAGTTTGCCATTACATGAATATCTAATTCCACTGATTAGCTCACGTGATCCGGCGCCGGAGACTATGCGCCGAGCCGCCGACCTACACAGTAGAATCTTTGATTTCACGAGTCAATTTTACAGTAAATTTTTTATATTCTCCATATCTTGAATAATCAGTTACCTCCAAGTTATTTACATAGAGGAAAAAAAAAAAAAAAAATCTCAAAATTGCGGTCTCTTTAAGGTGTTCATAATTAAAGCTGGCTTTTCTTCGATTGTGTCCCTTTCAAAGGAATTGGTCTCTTTTTCTTCTTCTTCTTCTTCTTCTTCTTCTTCTTCTTTTTTTTTTTTTTTTTAATAGAGTTGGAAGTTGAAAATTTGAAAGAAGGTTGGAGGGCAACCACTCCTTGCCTTCTTTTATACTTCGTAAGTCCAAAGAAACAGGACTGACCTTGCCCCTCTTCTTTAGGGCACTTGGCCAACTCCGACCACCCAGAATTCTTCACCTACTGTTTTATTAAATAGAAAAGCAACAATTAAGTATTCAAGTCACTGTGTTCTATAGGGATTAATATATTCCATTTCCATAGAGGAATAAGTCGGTCCATCATTGTCAGCAAGAAAATTGAAGCAAAACAACTTTCCTATAAAATATTAAGGAACATTGAGCTGTTTAATCAACTGACTAGATTTGCTTGCTTCCACTTCTGTTCCGTTTCTTTGAGTCGAGGCAAGGGATTTGGACACTCGAATTTTGTCCAAAATAAGATGCCATGCCATGGTTTTGTATCCAAAGACTCGCTCCCAATTGAGTACAGATGTAAAGATGACATGAATGCTTGCATTTTTCGACCTAGGTAATGAGTCCTAAATGGTTTGCCAGGAAATATTGGCTTCAACAAAAAGAGTATGAAAGTGATTATATCACTCTTACAAGTATCTTGAACTTCCTAGAAAGGAAAAAAAGACCTCTTTTTTTTTTTTTTTTCCCTCTCTCTTCATGACACAAGTATACAGCCATCAGAATACATGACTGAGGATTTAATAAACCTGCTTAGGATACATTATTCCCTGTTTCTTCTATTGCATTTTCCCATATGAACCTCCCTTCAAACATACCTAAAAGAAAAATTATAAAAAATAAAAACCCACTGTACAACAAACGATTCACAAGAAAAAACCCAGAAAAAAAAAGAAACCAGAAAAGAAGAAAAGGTAGAAACAAAATCTTGATTGACCACTGAAAACTAGTCGCAGCAAATAGGGCAGCGTATGAGTCCATTCTCATTGCAATCAGGGCAACGTTGAAACCCATATTCACCACTCTCTTCTCCTTCTTCTAACTCTTCTTGTTCTTCATCATCACACTCATAATATATCTTACAACTCCCTGAACATGTCTCACAAGGCACAAACCTGATATCCCCACAAGCCTCACAAGCCCCTCCAACTCCACCTCCACCACCATCATCCAACATTTCACACCCTTCAGCCATTTTCTCTAGCTGTCCTTCCTCGTGCATTCGCCGAATTTCCTCTGCTCCGCCAATGTATTTTCTCCCAATAAACACTCTTGGCAGCCCTCCCCCGCTAAACCGTTCTCCCATTAGCTCTCTCAACTCCTCCTTGAACCCTGAATGCATTGATACATCTCGTTCATCAACACGAACTCCTAAGCTTTTTAATATCACCCTCACATGGCAACAAGCCTCGTATGTTTTGCGCACCCCTCGCAAGCTCGTAAAATAAACAATCAACTTATCCTTACTGCGCTTACAATCTTTTGCGACAAAATTTACCCTCGTAGTATCATTCACAAGCAATGACGAATCATCACTGGCAAAATGAGGCTGTTTCTCACTATCTGTTGGCTTAATGTAAAATGGATGTGTAGGAGAGAGCTCTTCCAATGATTTTCTAAACGTAGAGATGACTTCAGGATCGAATTCCGGAAACCTGGAATTAGCATCCTCATCTACAACTTGAAGCCACCCAGGCTTATTATTATCAGGTGACGATAAGCCATTCTGCTGCAAATTCATAGTGGGACTACCAGGTACTGAGGTTGGATCACGAGAAACATCAAAAGAAAAACTGCGAAACCGATGAGACATATGGGGAGGAGTCATCATATCTTCAAGCCCTGCCATCATTTCCCAAGTATTGATAGTTTCTGGCTCTCCAGGTGGTGTCATGATCGGAGTCTTTGGAATAACCTTTGGAATTTTTTCTTGGATCATATTAGACCAAGTCTTGGCTTCAATCAGTCCCATTGAAAACTCCTCCTTGCCATTCAATTCTTTACTATCCTTTACAAATCCATTTGATCCATGTAAATCACCAACATTCTTCTTTTGGTCATCGCCTTTTACAGCAACATCAATAGCCCCATTTTGACTCTGATTCGCAGAATCAAGCGCCAGTGTGCCTAATGTGGTGGAGGTGAGCGCCACCACATGGTAGCTATCGCCTTTTTGTTGTGGTGGATGAACAACATGCATTGAATAGCTTCGAGGCACCGGTGAATACGGTGTCTGGCAATGCTTGCATCGCTTTTGCTTCGAAGTCGCGCAACCCATCTCTTCTTTTACAATTCAAATCAATTGAATTTCAAAGCAAGCAAAACTTAAAAATCAAATGAAATGAGAACAAGTAAAACAAACATTCCCCTTGTCTGGAGGATGAGTTGGATTGGAAGGTCTGTTTGGTAGAGATTCTGATGATAAAGTAAGCAAAAAAGGAGGACTAGGAAGAGATCAGATGATTAAGAAATTGCTTAAAATTGAAGAGAGAATCAGAAAGGAAGCTCGTTTCTTGTTTTTAGGTTGCGACAGAGGAGAAGAACAATAGAGATAGTAATAAACTAATAATAGAACACCACCTGCATTTATCTATATCATAAATAAGGAAAAACTGCAAAGGACAAGATTCATCAAAACACGTTAAGCAACATTAAAATCATCAACAATCAAGAAACTTCCTAGTTGGTTCTCTTAATTGAAGAAAACAAACCCAGGTCTGATCAAAGGACTTGTGAGAATCGAAATCAATGTTTAATCCCCTTTAAAAAAATAATAATAATAAAAAATACAAAAAAGCAAAGTTTGGAACTTGAAAGAATGCTGGAGATGGGAAAAGGAATTGAATTCTCTTTCGGAAAAAGAAAATAGATTGAATGAAGAAGTAGAGACTTTTTTGGATTTGGAGATCTGGGGTTTCCAAAAATGAATGAAATGATTGGATAGAAGAAAAGAAAGGGATATTATGGAAGGAATGATGGAAGGGAAAGAAGGAAAGCAAGAAAGTTTCTTGCTTACAAAAGAGATGGGAAATGAATGAATGAAGAATTTTGAATTCTTCAAAGTCAGAATACGTAGGCGCACCACCACCTTATTCTTATAATAATTTTCTATTTCTAGAATTTGAAAGGATAGGATAGGAAAGTGAACTTAGTTTTTGAGGTTTTGTTTCATTTTAAATGTTTCTTTTTGTTTTGGTTTGTTGTGTACGAGATAAAGTGAGGAATTTGACAATTATGTGAAATGAGGAAATTTGGGATTATAGAAAGAAAACAATCGGCAAACGCGGAAATTATTGCTTGAATGACTCTCCTCACCCCCACAAATACAGAGTGAGAGTGAGAGAGAGAGAGAGAGAAGCTTGTGTTGACATCGTAAAGTTTTGTACATTTCCTTTCATAAAAAGAGAGTAAGAAAATGGAATGGAAGCCTTTTTGCAAAGGTTGTTGAGGCCAATGCCATATTCTCATTGGATCGTGCGATAATGAAGTGGCAAATGGGATTGTGGCACCTGCCAGTAAGAGAGCTGGTGAGTTTTCATGGGATTTTTCATTTTGGCATTGCAATTGCAAGTGTTGGGGGATCCAGATTCAAGAGCCTGATGACCAGTCATGTTTTGACCAATCTAGGTCTCAACGGGCTGGAATTTATTAAATGGAAAAACCATTACACCAAGCACAGCTTTTGTAGCTTAGATTAAAACATAAAAAGGGTTTTGTCTTTCTGAAGGAAAGGAAAATACCTTCTTTTTTTTTTTTCTTTTAGTTAGCAATGAGATCATAATGTATACATCGAAAAAGAGAATGACTAATCACCAAACAGACTCCAACAAACCCCAACAAGGAGATAGAAACAAAAACTAATTAAAACGCATAACAAAATCATAGGTGCAACCTGATTGCAAACCAATTAACACAGATCTTAGCAAAAATCGCCACATGCAAATTCCCAAAGCATTGATGCCAAGTGCCTGCCATGTCATATCTATCATCCAATTTGGACAAAGCTGCAAAATAACAACACTAACGGTAACCGCCCACAACTCAAACCGAAAACAGTAGAAAGCAAAAAACAATACTCTGTTTGTGTGTATATATATATATATATATATATATATATATATAAACACTATTTTTTTTCTTTTTTCATATCTGTGTCAAAATATTATTTTTCAAATATATATATATAAACACTATTTTTTTTCTTTTTTCATATCTCGTGTCAAAATATTATTTTTCAAATTTTTATTAGGTCTATGCGAAATTAAATTTGATGACTAATAATTCTTAAAAAAATAAATTTTAAAAAAGTATTAACAAAGATTTTGATAAAATATAATAATTAATAATCTTCTTAATATGTATAAAAAATCAAAGAAAACAATCTTTTTAGAAAAGAGAGAGTAACAACAACAACAATAATTTATTTTTCAATTGTGAAAAAAATATTTAAAAAATATTGTAAAAAATTAAAATTTATAATTTGAAAGAAAAGTATTGCATTTTAGTAAATTAAAATTTTAATCATGTTAGTGTAGACCATTTATTTTAAATCGAGTGTGATATACTAGTGTAATCGTAATTATGAAAGTTGTCTCCTTAGTCTATTACACGACAGTCTAACTAATACTCCATCCTCAAAAAGACAATCCCTACTGCTAAGGGCCATAACAACCAAACAAAACCTAGACAATTAGTGAAAGCATGACTTCTTGGAATGTTTCGTCACATCGTCACTAACCATGACTGCATATGTTCTCGCTAGACAAGGACCATCAACTAAAAGGATCTTTAACCTTCAAATGGATGTCAAGATTAGTTAAACATTAGAAAAGAGACCAATCTACCCCCACTCTATACGAGTTAATCATCATCTCTCTTTTAGCATACCAAATGTTAGATGTTATGTCTTTTAAGTTCAAACACATATATTACCAACTATCTTTATATTTAAAAGCTAATATCCTTAAAGTCTACTTAGGCAAAACACCTCTCTTTGTAAGCTAACTTAGCCATCCGAGAGTCCTTCAAACAATAGAGAATGAATTATTTTGCATGTACTCATCATTGAATCAACATATATCGAGCTATAACAACCTTATGATCAGCCTAAAATAAAAGCCATCTTGCTTATTAATCTTAATATGAGGATCATAATCTTATTAGTGGCGTCATTTGTGGAAACTCGTTTAAAAAAATTGTTTCTCAACTCTTTATACATTAACTTTTCTACTTCTCTATCCTTAAGCTTCTTCATGGTTAACAATAATGAAACTTCAAACCTTTCCACTTTATTCAATTTTGCTAGTCCTAATGTTCCATCAATCGAAGTTCTCCAATCGTAGCAACATGTACAAATGTTAACAAAAACATACATATCGACGGAATATCAAATAAGGATTTAACCACACCCTTACTAACACCTTAAATACAACAAGTACTTTTGCATGCATTATTTCTAGTGACTTTTGTGCCACCATAAGTTTTACATGTAGATTATTCAAACTAAATAGATCAACTTCGTATTCCATCGAAAAAGAACTTACCAATCACATTGAAAAAGAGGCTAATATCATCTTTTTTTGGAATCATAAAAGGTTACTTTCATCACTATAATAAGAAGCTAGTTAGTCGGGGCTCCCACAAGAATAAAAAAGGGAAGAGAAAAAAATATTTCCATAGCGTTAGAAATAAGCACAATACTGTCAAAAATCGATATAAGGATCAATATAGATAGAGTTCCCCCTCCTCCCAAACTTCTTAAGTGAGCTTAGAACCTAAAAGCTAGTGAGTAGGAAAAAAAGATGTTGTTACCACTCGTTAGTATAAGTGCCCAAGATTCAACCTATTTGAATGGTTTGAATATTGTATGATTGCATTTTTACTAATAAAAAATTCCTTATATTAATTCATGTTATTTATAACTTGATGGAATTAGATAAAATTCCATATGATATTTATTACTTTGATGATTGATCAATAGATGTGAAACAAATATCAATGCACTTAAATAATATCATTAAATGTGCCAAGTCATAGCATTGTCAAAATTGGACGTTGAAGAATAGAACTCTTTTTCTTCTTATTTATCTTAGGTTGAGCTTCTCTCGGTATGGATAATAACTTTTTAAGAGTCTTTTCTACGTGTACCAAGTTGAAATTCATGATGAACTATCTAAAACTAATGGGTAACAATTATAATACTTGGTCAATGGATAATTCTGCATCCATTCCAACTTCAAACTCGACCCGACTGTCGATATAACCTATCATCTTAGTGACATACTTCTTAATATTAGATCTTTTATCCATTCTAGCTGTAAAGAACTTCTTAACTATTTCATATGTTAGTGTAGGTGCCCAAAATCCAACCATGTTAAGATAGGTTTGAGTTATTATATTATTGCATTAGTTTTTTATCAATAATAAAAGAAGTCTTTTATTAACTTTTTTTCTTATATTTATTTTATTTATTGAATATAATTAGATAGAAGTCCATATGATATGCATTTGCATTAGTGATTGATCGAAAGATGTTAGATAAACACTAATGCACATAAATGATATCATTAAATGTCTCAAGTCATATTATTTTCAAGAATGGACATTAACTAGATGTAGTTAGACTTGTGAGTGTTATTGGCTAGATACGGTTAGACATTTATGTGCTATGCTCATAAATGATATCATGCTATATGATAGCAGTAGGAGATCTCATACCTATTGATATGATGATACCAAAGCAAGCACTTAGGTGATTTATGTTAAAGAATATATCACTATACTTGACTCACCACAAGAAGCCATTTGGTTTAGTTTATGAGAATCTCATATGAGATAGGTACAACTGGTCCTTAGACTTGAAGTCATCACGGTTATCTTATTAAAAGATTTATGCACTTTGGCACTCGTTTCAATGGACCCAATAGAGGGTTGCATGTAGGTGATTCGTTGGGTGCACTAAGAATCTAATGGAGATAGGTGGATGACTAAGATAGGACATGTTATTCCTTGTTTGCTAAAGGAGTTATCACCTTGCACTTCGATAAATTTATACTCAAGAAATCTATGGCCATAATAGAAATATACTAATAGAGCATAGTTGGTTTACTCCAAGAGATAAGGCATTTAGGAATCAAAGAAAACTTGTGTGATCATAATCGGACAAAACTTATAACTAAGTTCGAGAGCACACTTGTGATAAGTTGACATGAGGACTGAATTGTATGGTAAACATGCTCGTGAAAGGTAATAATGGATTATTTAATCCTCCTAGAGAAT